TCTCTATGCCACTGAAAGGTGGTGGCTGGAGTCTCCCAAACCTCTCCAACCTACGCTGATCATCCTCAGGCATAGCAGGAAACACATAATCCTGAGAAACTACAACTGGCTGGGCTGGTGGTGCANTCGTGGAACTAGGCAAGCCGACTCATTTCCAAAACAAACCGATATTTTCATTTCAAATATAATTCCAATGTTATTTAACAAAAAACATTCGTAAAGGAGTTCCAATCAAACAAAAGTGCGGAAGGAAAAGCCCAACATCGGGGTGTCACTAATCATGAGCATCTACTATAATCTGTCTAACAATATCAAGGCTCGCTCACCCTGGAAAATAGCTAAATACAACTAGAGGAAGATAAGAGGGAGAAGAGCAGGGGCTGCGATCGCCAAAAGCTACCTTGCTATCTCCAAGAAAAATCTGCAACCAGAACAATCAATAACCGCTACCGTGTCCACCTACACCTGAATCTGCACACAAGGTATGGAGAGTAACGTGAGTACGCCAACTCAGTAAGTAACAACAATAACTAAAGACTGAGCAGTTGTGACGAGCAATAAAGCATATAACATTCATATCAGGAAATCTCAGTAAAATACCACATGCTTTTAAAATCAGGATTTGAATCAAAATATCTCATTTAAACCCAGTTCCAGTAAAAAATCATTTAAAGATATTTTTCAATAGTTTTCAGACAGAGGAAAAAAGCAAAGGTGAGCAAAAATGATGAAATCATAAACAGCCCCTCGGGCAAAACATCACTCATATACAGCCCCTCGGGCAATCCTCACAGTCACTCATGCCACTCGGGCATACCTCACAATCACTCTTGCCACTCGGGCATACATAACAATCACTCATGCCTCCCAGTCACTCGGCACTCGCACTTAGTAGGTACCTGCGCTCACTAGGGGTGTGTACAAACTCCGGAGGGGCTCCTTCAGCCCAAGTGCTATAATCTGCGCGGACAACTCATGTGCTGCACGGACAACTCACGTGCTATAATAATAAAGTATGCTGCAGGCGGGCAGACCCGATCCACACTCATCCTCACAATCAGGCCCTCGGTATCACTCAGTCATAAACATCTCAAGCCACTCGGGCATTTCAGTAAAACAGGGCATTCGGCCCAAAGTATCTATATGCATCAAAATGAGTTATGCGGTAAAAATGAGTTATACGGTAAAAAAGTATAAACATGACTTAGTATAGATTTTCAATCAAAAACAATGAGAGGATAGTAAGAAATAGCCCCTAAGGGTCCAAACAGCACTGGCGCAAAGCCCAAACATGGCATTCAGCCCAATTTACAGAAACTCTTTCTAAAACATATAAGTATCATATAGTTTCAACAAAGTATGCAACTTTAAAGTTGGTACGGGATAAACCAAGTCACAATCCCCAAGAGTGCACGCCCGACATGACCTAAAAATAGTAGAATGATACAAAATCCAGTGTTTCATACCCTCAGGACTAGATTTACAATCGTTACTTACCTCAAACCGGTCAAATCTCTACCACGCAATGCTCTTTCCTCTGGACTCACCCTCCAAATGCTCCGAATCTATTCACAATCAGTACAATACCATCAATACGCGCTAATGAAATGAATTCCACAAGAAAAGGTACAAAATTAGAATAAAACCCAAAATTGGCTCAAACCTGGCCCCAAGGCCCACGTCTCGAATCCGACAAAATTCACAAAACTAGAAAGCTCATTCACTCACGAACCTAACCATACCAAATTCATCAAAATCCGACATCGTTTGGTCCTTCAAATCCTTAAATTACTCTCCAAAAATTCCAAGCCCTAACCCCTCATTTTTACTAATTACAATGATTAAACAACGAAAAATCACCATATATACGAGTATTAGGGCTCAAGAAACTTACCTCACTGATAGCCCTTGAATCACCCTTCAAATATCACTCCAAAAGCTCCAAAAAGCGACTTGAAAATGGTGGAAATGAATCAAATTCGTGAAGGGTTCTATTTATGGTTTCTGCCCAGGTTTTTCGCACTTGCGGAAACTTTCACGCTTCTGCGCCACCGCACCTGCGGAAAAATCCATCGCAAGTGCGGAACTCACTTAGGAGCCCAGGTTCCTCATCTGCGGCCCAAAACCTCGCGCCTGCGAAGGCGCACCTGCGCGTTTCCTCCTCTTCTGCGAAGCCTGCCCAACATCCCCCTTTCTGCATCTGCGCCCCAAGTTTCGCACCTGCGGGCTCGCAGATGTGACCTCCAACTCGCACCTGCGCAACCTGCCTAGCCTAGTATTGCCCGCACCTGCGCACTCCCCGCGCGCACCAGTGGCCTCGCACCTGCGACTCTTTCTTCCGCAGGTGCAAAAATAGCAGTAGCAGCAGCTTCAGCTGCATTTTCCAACTTCGACAAATCCGTTAACCACCCGGAATCACCCTGAAGCCCTCGAGAACCTCAACCAAAAATACCAACAAGTCATATATCAACATACCAACTTAGTCGAACCTTAGAATCACTCAAAACAACATCAAATCATCAAATTAACCTCGGATTGAAGCCTAAGAACTTCTAAATTTCCAAATTTGGCAACCGATGCCGAAACCAACCAAACCACATCCGAATGACCTCAAATTTTGCACACACATCACAAATGACACTAAAAACCTACTCCAACTTCCAGAATTTCATTCCGACCCCGATATCAAATTTTTCACTGCCGACCGAAATCACCAAATTTTTAATTTCGCCAATTCAAGCCTAATTCTACCAAGGACCTCAAAATCATATTCCGGATGCACTCCTAAGTCCAAAATCACCTAACGGAGCTA